AATGAAATGAATTTTATTCTTATACTTTATAAACTTATAATTTGACAGTAAAATATTATTAATCTATATAATTCAATAATGAATATTTACAAGAACACAACTTGTATAGAATCGAATAGTACGAACAACAAATTAGTACGAAAAACAAACAAAATCCGATTGAAAAGTGCCAAGCGACGCGATCGAGTTACTTATATTAACTCAGAAATTATATTACGCTTTTTACTGTCACACAGAAAAATTCTAAATGTTGCGATCGTTCTGTTCTCCCATTTCTAAGCAAGTAATGAAACAAAGAAAAATAAATAATAAACTCAGTTTAACGGAATCGAGAAATATTTAACAAGGCACAATTTAAATTCAATTTAACAAAATTGAAAAACAAATAAATAAACACAATTTGATTCTACAAACCGATAAGCTACTTTTAGACACTAACGGACAAACGCGATTGCCTGTCACTAAAACGGTTATAGAAGAGCCAGCCCGGCATATCCGAGAAGCTCACGTACAAGAGACAAACCGCTCGTTAACATCTCCATGAAGCAACTGACCTCTTTGGTCTCGGGCTCCGTGGCCTTCAGCAGGTCGGAGAACGCCGAGCAAAGTTTCCTCGCGGCGTCTAGTAGCCTGTCGCCGGAAGTGTCGTCCTCCATGAGGGCGGCGATCATTCGCACGCCCTTGGTCATCTCGGGCAGGTTGTTCGCGATCGTTGTGATCGCCGCGCCCACCGCGGTGTGATCCACGTCGTCCGCCGGGCCGGAGGTCAGCGTGACCACCTGCGCGGTCGCTGCGTTCATCGCGGCGATCTGCGAGCCGACGTTCTGCTTGTGCGTGTCGATCGTCTGCTCGATCCATTTCAACGAGGCCGGATCAGTGCCCAACTCTGGCAGCGACGCCTTGCAGGACAGCTCGGTCTCGGCGATGTGGATCACTTCGTGGCCAGCGGTGATCGTCGACAGTAAGGCACGTTGTGGTTCGGACAGGACGGATGTGACCTTGGTTTGTTGCACCTGGATTGCAGATTCACTTTTTAGGATTGCCAGGACACCTACGCCATTGTTGCCTCGTCGTTCAATTGCGAATGTTCATGTAAGTTTTTGTACTTCAGGCCATTTGGGGGGAGAATGATTATATATTGGTTCGATGCAAAAGTTTTCCCGATTTTTGTAAGAAATAAAAAGTGTTTTCCAAATGTTTTTGTTGGGTTAATATATTATTGACTATAATATATTATGGAAAATGAATCCAGTGATATTTTTACTTGCTGTAACGAATGTTAAATTTTCGTATCGAGTCAACAGAATGATTAGAAAGATTAGAAAATGTTTCGTTTGATAAGTATTGGAATCATGAAGATGCTTCTGCGAAGACCTAACCATATACATTTTTCTTTCATTATTTTGTCATCTATGTGATTGATTTAGTGGTAACAATGAAATTGTGGGAAATACAATTGTATTTTGATTTTAAATTTTATATTTTAATTTATGGAAGTAGTACATCTGCGTGAACATTCGCAATCTATCATTTATGATTGTACAGTGGCAGGTATATTGATATGAACACTTTGTGAATTGTTGATTAACGTCTGGTGATTAATTTTTCGGTATTCTTCGTAGTACTTCTAGAAGATATTTGTTATTCTCTGTTATCAATAAATAATTAATTTAAAATACAGTTAATAGATACTTGACTGCTATGTATTTAGAAATTAAATTATATCTCGAATGTAAGTACTCAAATGCCATTGTACTACGTAATAATCTACGAATTTGGGACAAATTTTGATACTTCGTGTTCAAAGATAGAAAGAAGTTGAATTCTGTAACATATCTGATCTAATATGCAATAAAATGGAATAAAGATGATATGTGTGATCTTAAAAATACAAACGGATATTTGAATATCCCTATTTATAATTATTTTCAGGAATTTTTGTTAATTTTATCTTAGTTATCCCAATTTCGTGAAATTATACGAGATTGTTTAATCTTTCATGTGATCCTTTAAATCCTTAATTCCAGTCTTTAAAAATGTACATGT